GGATGATTGATGTGCCGCCGAAACCTAGGAAGTTGACTAAACCGGGATGAAGATGTTGCAAAATTTTACTCTATCGAGGGAAAATTAATTTTTTTTTCTACTCTTCCACACCAATTTATTGTAGAATCATTTTTTAAATTTTAACCTGCTAATAACAATAATAATAATACTATTTAATGACTACTTTACACATATATACATATATATGGGTTGTAGCAGGTCATATACTTAGACAACACAAATCACGTGGATTTGTTTTCAAAATATTAAAACATTTCGACATTCAACAAAATTACAGACCACCGAAAATTGTATAATCACACGTCAAAACACTACACTAATAATACTCTGATCCATAATTCATATATATTCCTTTTTATAATGTGTATTTTATTTGTAGATATAGATATAGATACAGATATAGATAGACCACAATGTCAAATTCTTACTAAGTTACTTGATCTCGTCTGGTGATCATGTATATCATGATGTAGAGTTCAGAAATCTCTCCTCCTACGAGTCTCCAGCAAACTGTGGTAAACATAGAGAGGAGGAAGAGGCTTCAGTGGCAGTGGCCGACTCTTTTGAAGGCGAAAGATAAAAATGGCATCGCTGCAACTCTCCCAGAGCACTACCCTACTATGTGTGTGTGTGTGAACTAGACAACTTAGACCTCACAGTCAGCCGAGTCGTCAGTTGTAATACCCAACAACCTACATTTATTTATAAACTTACACTTCCCAGATGCAGCAGTACACCAACTTTGGGCAACGGCCAAAATATTCTCAGCGATGGTCGGTAGAGGTGCCGTCCGCAAATATTACGCTGTTGGTTTGTATCACAAAATTGCAAAGTTCAGTGTAGATCACACACAGTGTTGATCCCAAAATTGAAAAACAGACTTATTCGAAGAGCCACAGCTGAGTTCCTCTAATACCATAGATCGAAGGTTTCTTAAGTAGTAAATTTTGGGAAACACAATCGAAGGGCCCGGACCAATCACACACCGTAAGAACAGGGTACGAGCCACCCTCCAAGCCCCCAACTATGATGTTCACATTCTTTAAAATTGCTCAGCGGACTTGAAACCAAACGGGGCCTCACTGAGAAGCGGCTCTCCTCTCCATTATCTTAAAAAAGGTCACCATAATGGATATAGGACTATAGTTCTCTAGCTGCCAATATATTGACAGTTTCCTGCAGCGTAATAGTGCTTACGTTAATATAATCAGTTGAGGCTGAATTTTTTAGATTTCTGATAGCATTGAAAACTTTGTAAACTCTAACTGGAGACAAAAAGAAACTGGATTGTTTCGATGGTATTTTACGCAAGTAATCAGTTTGATGTTTTGACGAATCCGGTAATGACTTATTGCTTTGGTTGTTTAATGATTTTTCTCAGCGCTAACAATTTCTAGCAATATCTGGATTTATTTTTCGAAATTCTTAGTAGTAGAGATAGACATCTTATCCTTGTTTTTTAAGGATTTATATACCTCCCAAAAATAAGGATCATTTTTTGTATTACGTTATTTTTATCATAGTTGGAATCGATTTTTTTGTTTTCCATGTCGTTATTATTAATTCATTGGAATTTTTGTAATTCTCTTGTGTTGGCTTTCAGTAAAACGATCTTTAATGGACGTTAAAGTACGTTAACAACGCCGAAATATTTTTGAAAACACCTAATCAGTTTCTCAAAGATAATTTTAGCAAATAAATGCATTTGATTTTGCTCACAGTTGAATTGACTGTAACTTTTTGTTTTTAGAGATATCAGGGTAAAAAAAAAAACGAAATGTAGGGTAAGTAGTAGTGACGTATAAAAAAACACTATCAATATTGTGACATATAAACCTACATCTTTAACTTTTAACTATTCTAAATTCTGCCATATGTGACCTGAATAAGATATTATTAAACACATGTATAATGTACAGGGTGTTCCATTAAAAAAAATATGATGTAGGCTTATATGTCACAAAATTGATAGTGTTTTGTTTGGAAAGAAACTTGGCTACTAACCGCACATTTTATTTTTTTTTTAATTTTCCTTGATATCTCTAAAAATAAAAAAATTACAGCCAATTAAAATGTTATCAAGATAAATTAGTATATATTAGGTAAATTGTTGATGCACATCAGAACCGGTAGTGACGCTAATGGCTTCACCGATTATACTGAGGATGAGAGAGATAAAAATCGTTAGCGGGAGCGTTCGGGTTCGGACTCAGGAATAGTTTAGGGTTTGGAATAACGGTTTAATTGAGTAGTTCGAGTTGTGTTTCGCTCGACTTACTAACGGCTTCCGCAATTGCCTTTATGGCCGCTTAAGTCGGGTGCAATTTATTTGTTCTGCCCCGACAGGAACGGCCGACAACCCCGAAAAGGCGGGCAGGTTGTTGCCTCCATGCAAATCCCTTCGGAAGCGAAGTTTCCCCTCTTTTTGTCGGAGTTTCGGTTGGGCGTGCCGACTAGCGAAACTCGTTAATAATTGTTTGACGTTCATCCACAATCTGCGCTGCTACGATGCTCAGTTTATTATATTTTCATCGAAAGTTATAATTCGAGGTTGTTTTTGAAACTGTTAAGATATGCTGTGTTACACGGTTACTATAAACTTGAATTGAGGTGGCTTTTGCTTGATGGAAATCCATTTAAAAAAATAAATAAGAACTAAAAGTTCAGATTTTCACGAAATTATATATCGTGTCTTTATCAAATGTAATATTTACAAACTACCTGCTACTATATATATCAAAAAATGACCTTAATTAATGTTGTTATGAGAAGTTCAATAAAGGACAGGTATTTAAATCTAATTGATCGTTAAACAATACCTCTGAATGTTTCATTTTGTTAATCTCCAAAATGTATTTTTCTGTGTTTAAGTGTGTAGCATAATTAGAATAATGACTTTTGTTTTTAAACGCTCTTTTATGTTCGTTAATGCGTTTCTTGAAGTATCTACCTCTTTGTCCAATATAAATTTTAGTACAAGATCCGCATTAAAAACAAAAACAACAAAACAATTGTCATGTGAAGATATATAATTTCGTGAAAATCTATTAGTTCTTATTTATTTTGTTACTATAAACTCTGGGTATTGCCCAGACCTTTTTTAAACAAATGTGAAAAAATAGTACCTGTTTATCAGAGTGGCAGTAAGATTGATATTATGGACTATCGATCGACATCATTTTTTTCTATTTCGTCAGATTAGTCATTTTTATGGTGTAAGTATTAAAAAGGACACCATAGCAGGGATCTTGGAATAATTATAGGCACCAGAGTGAGTTTCAAAAGTCATGTTGAAAACATAGTGAAAAAAGCGTATTAAAACTTGGGGATTATTATAAGGGTTAGTAAAGAATTTTAAGATGATACGCCAAGCATACTGCGTAATGCCTATGTGCGGTGCCATCTTGAATTCTCCAGCGAGATATGGAGTCCCCAATAGAGTTGAAAACGTTCAACAATAGTTTATATGAACTTTAGATATAACGGCAATCTATTAAGCGTTTGGTATGAAGCAAATGTAACAAGTGTAAACGGTAAGCTCTTTGCAATCAAAGTGAATTAAATTTGTTTTTACTTTCTTTTTGGTTTTCATTTTTTGGATTTACTTACTCTTTAAAATAAAGGTAACTGTGTCCTTAGCGTACTTTTGTAAATTTTAGTATTAGGGCACCTTGTTATATAATATTATTAATAAATGGTCTTTATGCTTTCCAGGCACTATATTGCTCAAGTTCTAGTTTAAAAGTAGTTAATAATGTTACTGATCTAAGTCGGAGAGAAAGTTTATTGTAAACTTCGGTCGCGTTGTAGCTAAAGCAGGGTTTTAATTGGACTGAATTACGCTTGGGATTCGACATTCGAACCACGAGTAAGTTTCTCAAGTAAATAGATTGGATTTCGCACGGTGGTAATATTCTTAGTTGAAACTAAAACTTGAAATATGATCAAACCTACCATAAGAGAATCTCAGGCAGGTATTCTGAAGACGCTGAAGGCTGAATTTTTCTTTCTGAAGTCAGGCAAGCCTGTAAACTATGTTACAATATTTTTTTAACTTAATGGATGTGTTTCACACAGAGGATCCAAAATTAATGGAACGACTTTTGGACTAAAAAGGATACGTCTTCAAAGCGTACCTAAATTTGTACAGTCAGTAAAGTTATGCTATGTTCATTTTGGACATACGGACATAATCAGAATAATTGTTATTATAATGTATTCTTTGGTACCCATCGGAGATGTAACTTTTGAGAAACTCCACAGCACTGTTCCCAAGTGCAAAATGCTTTAATTTAATGAATAACAAATGGCGGTAAAGTGCGTCAAGGGCTTCGCTAGTCGAGCAACATTAAACAGTTATTTAAACCTACATCGCTAGTAATGAATATGTAATCGCCGGCTTTTAAGGGAGACGTACTAGTAATTCAATCTGCCTCCAGCCTGATTGCGTATACTGAATGATATTATAGCTACTATTTAAATAAATTCTGGATTTCTTCTACGTCTGTTGTTGTTGAGTCGAACTTGCTAACGTTTCGCCAATCATCCAATTAAGCTCTGCCAGTCAGCCAAACATCAGGAAATTCGACTCAACAACAAGCGACGCAGAAGGAATCCGGAAGTTTCGTAAATAGTATTAATTGGAATGATCGTATGTACATGGAAAAATACCCAAAGAATAAAAATAAATTTAACATTGATATTATTAATATTCAACTATCAATTATTATTATGACTTATGAAACTCGATATCGGCCGTTTCACTTAGTGAAATATAAAATCAGTTCCGACCACCGCAGCAGTTCATTCCGCAAACAACTTCCCACTGAATAAGTAATAATTTTTTCAAAACTTTCCCGGTTACGACAGCCATTCGTAATTTTTTTTTTGTCGCGAACCGCGGCGGAACATCGCGTTGACGATTTCGTTCGGTATTCAAATCGGGATGTATATTATTAAAGTCGATATCGGTTTTTCAGGCGGTCTCTTTCACCCGAGCGACGATAAACAAGAAATAGCCTTCAGATACGCTGTCGAGAAAATAAACAGCGACCGTGCCATATTGCCCCGGTCGAAGCTCAGCGCGCAAATTGAAAAAATTCCGCCGCAAGACAGCTTCCACGCCTCCAAAAAGGGTAAGTTTGTTGAATCTAGCGTTTTGCTCGCGGGTCACGTCACAATGACACTTGTTTTTTTTTTCAAAAAAAATGTACTTTACAAATATAACACCCCCGATATAGTAGAGGAAGCGGGTAAATGATATTGATACTCACAGTTAAACGGATTTTCATTATAGAGTCAAACTTTTGCCTGGTCTTGCAGGAAGCTAACACAGATACTGAGATATTTCATCAAGAATGGCAGCTTAAGGAGGTTAAAACCTCTATTAAGAAATCATAAGGAAGTGGTCAACAGATCGTTGTTTGGCCTGTCAGTGTTAAGTTAGAGAGGGAAAATGTAATTCAGTCTTTACAAATCTTCTGCATTCCTTCTGCGCCGTTTGTTTATAAATCAAACTTGATGACGTCTTGCCAATCATGCTGTTGGCTTCATCAGAGCTTAACTCATACTTGCTCGCATTGTACTCATTGTGCTTGGTGAATAGTAAAGACCTGAGTAGCGGCTAAGATTGTTTGGTTGCTTATAGATGTCCATGGAATCTCGGATTTTTCTTTGGTGCATCAATTTATTAAATGAAAAAAATTTAGTTTATTCGAATAACATTTGATGCCCATTTTCATGAATGTGTTCGGCCACTGCTAATGAGTTAATTTCTGGTAGTGTTAAGACTTTTTGTATGTATTGCTTACCGCATATAAATAAAATGCTCCTCCTCGTACTTCAAAAGCAATTTTGCCTTTAACAAATCGAAGATGTTGAGAGGTTTTTGGACAATCTGGTTCTAAAGTTATATTTCCTTTCGATGTGTTCTCAGCGAAGTTTTGAATTCGAGGAAGGATAACAGTGGCAAGTGTGGCGTTGCTATCGGACTCATTGTCTTTGGAAGGTTGTGATTATAGTATATTATGCAACAAGTGCGATAATCGGTCTTTGATAAATAATTTAAAGAAAGCTGAACCAAAACAAAATATGTTACAATAATAAGTGCATTGGAAGGGGTACGGGTGTGATTTTTGTCGTAAATAAATGTCAATATTTTAATTAATAACCTTGGAGTCATTAAAAAGTATTTTCCTAGCCTATCAATTTAGCTATAACTGGCGCCATTGCGATTGTTTAACTTGTAACCAGGTGTTTTTTAACATAATCGTAAAAAAAATAGTTTTCTGAAAATAGTTATTATCCAACGATTTTACCAAACATGTTGCTTACTATACTTTTTCTCCGATGGTTAGTTTTTGGGCACCTTTTGTAAAACAACACAAACGAATTAAAAGACATGACCATCAGAATGGAAAAACGTCAATGTTGCGTCTGATTCTCTATTGATGAAAATATCTAAAAGAGTATAGAGTTTAAATGACTAAGAAAATTTCCTGGGAATCCTTGACCATATATGTATAACCAATATCCACGTAGCGTTTCCATACTTTTTGGTGATGGGTTTCTATTTTTCACTGTCCTTTTCACACTTTTTCGTTTAGCTTTAGTGATTTTTTTAGGTAGTTTCGGTAAGTTACGCTTAGTGTGCGTTTTACACCGTTTCATTATGGGAGATTTTAGGGACATATCAATGTAAGCTACAGATAATTTTGATTTCTGCATTCCTGGTTTAACATCTAGTACCTTTGACCCATTACGCAGCCTGCAAACTCAGACAAAAGCTTGCCTTTATAATAAAAATTCATATGATGTGAGCGTTAATATCGTTTACCAGCCCCTTGTACTATATCAGGGGTCAGTAGGTCCCGTTACCGTCCATCGCTGTCATTTTACTGCGAGCTGGTCAATATTATCGTCGTTATCCGTTCGTTATCGTTCCGTTACGTCAAAATTTGATAAAATCCAGTCAGAGCAATTGTTACTGGATGGAAGCAATGCAGCCAGGACATACGGATCATTTTTGGTAACTGCATAATTACACTGACTGGAGTGTTCCATGTTATCTCTTTCTTTTTTCGTGACCCGCTTGGCTCGCGAACGTCGTCCACCGACAAAGTTCCGTAATAAAGCATCCCTCCAAACGTAATTTAATAAGGAACGCTTTTAACTCAAAATGGCCGACGCGACGTCTCCGAGACTATGAATTTTTTATGTCGGCACTTCGCGGGCGGTCTGAGAAACAAAAAACTACCTGTCGCCCTCCCGGTTCGCGCGCTAATTAATTTTCACGGACGCCGCTGCCGCTCGCGCCACTCGATAAAAGTCTCCCCTGAAACCGTCGCCACAGGTGGTCGATTAAACAAGATCCAGCGGACCATCCTCCGACTGCACTCCGTGTAATATCTTTAAATTTAGGATTTTAAAAGAATCATCAGGCGAGGGAGGCGATTGTGTTTTCAGGATATGTTCGTCTGAACTCTCTTTGTTTATCTACTATCGTAATTATTAATCGCAGCAAAAAAAACTTGATTTCGTCCATTTCAGTTTCGAAATAAATGGCGGCGCATCTAGACGTAATCTGTGGGCTTAAGTACCCTCGTTAACTATTTAATGCTGATTCTGGCAGGTGAAATTAATTATCTATTAGGAAGAGACGGTGTTCCTAAACGACGACGATTTTAGGGACTAAGCACCATTGAGAGATCGTGGAAACTATTACTAACACTTCGACGCGATAACTTGGAACTCAATTTCACATCTCACGACACCCCTCAACTATCCAGCATTGTGGGTAATTATATTTTAAAAGCAATTTTAATAATCAAACAAGCCGAAATATTCCGTATTTCCTAAAATACTTCAGCCGCACCTCCTTGCTTTTTCAGCCTCCATGACAACATGTGGATTTCCCACTCTAATATCATTATCTTATATTATCTTTGAAATATTACTTCCGATTTCTGCTAATGGGTTCTGCCTTAGTCTGATCATCATTGTTATAATTATGGGTGACGTCATCTCTAGTCATTTTGAAGACTTTTTTTCTCAGTCCTACTGCAATGGTATATTGTCACTTGCCGGAAAAGTATCTTTGTGATTCTAGATGTGTTCAGTTCAAGGACCACCTGGTTATATTGTCCTTACTGTGAAATGTGTATCTCTAAGTTAAATTCTATCAATTTGCCCACAGAGTTTTCAAGATTCTTGGGTTACAACGTTCTCCGTCAGTTTGCCATTTAGTGCGCGTTTGGTGTTCGTTATCACTCACCAACATTTTGTACGATTATGTTAAAATTAATTACTTTTCAGTGTTTGGGTACCTCGATAGAACCTTTTACCATCAGTGGCGCTGCTTGGGTGTTGGACAAGGATATCTTGATCATATCCGTTAGTGATAGTCTATTTTCCCTGCGAGAGACTCCTTTCTGTGCGACGATTTTTGATTTTCGTACAGTTCAAATGGGTTCCTTGGAATAAATGAATTTTTCGGTGAGATTTTGGTTTGGTCGGTTTAGACTTTTGTGCGAATATCTTCAACGTACCTTTGGATGTTTCCGGATTTGTTTTCTGGCCGCTTTCACGTAAATCCCGATCACCGCCCACGGGTATGTGATAATTTATTGGGGGGGTAGTAACTGATTTGTGTCATTCCATTATCTATCATTTGCCTTGTAGGACAATCTTTAATATTTTTAATTATAATTAATATTTTCTTAAATTACTTAATCAGATTATTTTACGTAACTATAAGCGGGACAACAGATTCTTGAGGTACGAATTTGTTAATTAATTAAATAATTAATAGCTTTTTTTAGTTTATTCATTTTGCGGAATACAAACAACTTTCTTCGTTTTCATTCAGTGACGATCGACAACAATTATGGAAAATTCTTCTCAATTTTGTGCTCTTTTTAGTAATGTGTGTGAGGCCAAACCAATCTCTGATGCAAAATTTCCTTGCCTGATTATGAAAGAAACAAGGTTGAGTAATAATTTTTTATTATTTTTCAATATAATCCTCCTTAACTTCAATACACTTATTACATCTCTTTATTAATAACTTAATTCCTTTAAAAAAAATATTCTTTTGGTTTGTCTGCAAAATGAGCTAAATCAGCCTCTTTTAACTCAACTTCGTCGTCCACTAAGTCCTTTTTCAAATATCCAAACAAATAATTGTCGCTGGGGCCATATCTGGATTGTAGGGAGGACGATCTATCTGTTGGAACCCACACTCTAAAATGGCAACTTGTACAGCATCAGCAGTATGGACAGGTTCAAAAGACGCCCGCCTCTGGTCAGTTTTTCTAGACGTTTTACAAGTATACAGTCTCGCAATTTATGTAATAATGTTGTGTAATATTTATGATTGACAGTGGTATTAGTTTCTTTAAAATCTACCAAAAGAATTTCTTCACAATCGCAAAAGATCGTTGTCACCACCTTTTTTGTTGACTGGCAGGTGCTTCACCCTTACGACGCCACTCAATTGATTCTTTTTTCGATAGAGGGTCGTGATAAAGAACCATAGTTTCATCTCCCGTCACAATAGTTTCTATCACAGACATCAGTTGTGACCCACAGAGTTCCAAAAAAGACCGCGCACACTCGACACGGCGTTGTTTTTGACTAGCCGAAAGGTTTTTAGGAACCCATCTCGCACTACCATGGGTACCTAAATGAGCATGCAGAATTTCTGAGATTTCCTTGACCTTTAAACGTCGAGCACTCAATACCACCTCTTCCACAATCGCAACAATATGTTTCGTTATGGCCTCCACTGGTCGACCAGTTCTTGAATCATATTCAAGGGACTCCTGCCCTATTCGAAAACGTTTTGCCCATTCTTTCACTACAGAATACGAAGAAGAACTTTGGCCGTACACACCATCCATTAATAATTTTAGGTGCTAACCCTTCCTTTGTCAAAAACTTTATGACTGCTCTATACTGAATTTGCTTTATTTGCGACATTTTTTCAGACACGTCTTGTTTAAAATGCTGTCAATAAAAAACTGTTTGACGCATGACTTCATTTTTTTTTTCGCAGCCTACTAAGATATATATTTAAAAGAAAACAACATTTTATCTTGATACTGGAGCTGCATCTATGTCGGGTCGGGAAATTTTG